CAGCTGTGCTGGGACATGTGCATCATCTGGGCCTGCTGCAGCATGCTGGGGCTGGGGCTGGGCCAGTGGCTGGGCTCAGCACAGCCCTTTCCAAGTGGGTGATCTCTCCCAGTGCCGGGCTCTCGTAGCACAGCACATTCCACACCTCCTCTGGCAGCAGGTCTAACTCTGCTCCCGCCCTGACTGAGCACTAACTCAAGAGAGAACAAATGAAAACCAGCCCAGTGAGCAATTAGGTTGCTATGGGAGAGGCAATCTCTTAGCTGGAGGGGAAGGAAGAGTTGTGTTAAAGCCAGGCAAAGGGAGGCAGCATTGTGGTCCTACTGGTCGCCATGGTGAAAGCTGGGCTAGATGCCTGCACCAGCAGGGATGTCCCTCCCTTGGTGCCTAACGGACACCACCTCCTGCTGCTGCCACCCCTGCAGACCTGCCTGCACCAATACTCACATCCAGCTCCCGGAGGAGAGACTCCAGCTGGTATCTGTCCTTGAACTCCGGGCTGAATTTTTGGTCCAGGTCTGTATCCACTTTCTTCAAGAGCTCCTGGGCATCCTTAGTATCTTTCTGAAACTGTGGAAAGGCCAAGCCTCTTGTGAGAGAGGGTCCTGCTGGAACATGGAGCAGACCCACCCCAGCACCCTTGTCCTCTCACTGCCTAGAGCAGGGACAGCCACCAGGAGCTATGACAGGCATGCGGACACCTGGAAGTACATGGAGAAAGGCAAGGAACTGCCGTGTCTCATGCTCAGGACAACAGAACTGTCAAGACAACCAAGGGCAGCTTATTTTGTGGTCTTCTTCTGCAGTGTCGTTAAATCCCACCTTTCCCTGCCCTCACTTTTGTTTCAGCTGGATGGTGTGTGGTGCCTCCATTGCCAGTGCTGAGGAGAAGGCAGAACCAAGCCCTTCCACACACAAACCACCCCCTGAGGCAGTTATTCTGACAGATCCCCACAAAAAGCACTGCCTGGGCTGGGCACCACAGTTCAGTTTTGGCAACAGACTCATCACATCAACACACCCAGGCTGTGGGAGAGGAATCCAGCCCAACCTGCTCCCTGCAGAGCCTCCCTGGCTGGCGGATGCCATTTATCCACAGACATCTGTCTGTCGAGCTCAGCTGGGTGCTGAGCCCTGGCACAGGGCTCCCGGGGCGCAGCTCTGCTTTCTGCAGGTGTCATTTCCCCATGTGGACCTGTTCCACTGCCGAGTGGAGCATGCAGGGTCTCCCCTTGCCTTGTTTTAGGGGGTGAGGTACCTCTATGAGACACCTCTGCTGTACTGCAGACAAGATTGTCCTGCAGACACTGGGCTGTGGCTCTTGAACCTTGGCACTGAGCAGATGCTTCCTGCAAGTCATGCTTTGGCCAAGCAGTTATTGGCTTTTGAGCAGTTATGACTTGCGTTATAGCAGCTCAGGGTGGTCCTCCTAGCCTTACACCCCCATAGACTAGAGCACTCCATCTCTTCTGCTCTGTTTCCAGAGCAGCCAGAGATTGCTCATATTCTGGGCTCTCCTGCAGCTCAGCACCTATTCTCTGGGCTGCGCAGAGTGAATGCCAGCGCCTTGCTGCCCCCAGGGATCTGGTACCTTGTGGAAGTCCTCCATGAACTTCAGGTGGCTCTCCTCACAGATCAGCAGGTTGAGGTACTCCTTCCAGTCAGCATGCACTGCCTCGATGTGAGCCTGCAACACAGGGGTGGAAGCTGGATATCAGCAGATGGCCTACGGCACCACCAGAAAGTACCAGTTTCCAGCTTGAGCAAACAAGCCATTTGCTGCCTCTGAAGCCAGCTGGCTGCTCTCAGGTCAAAGCTAGGATGGGAATAGTGGAGAGCTAGTCCAAAGCTGGGATGCTCTGATGGGAACGTGGGGCTGGGTGGAAGGAGGTGGCAAATCTTGTTGCCTTATGTCCATCTTCCCATCAAAGGTGGAACTTGCCACCATAATTTCTCCTTTGTAGGCAGGCACAGAGTAATTGCCACAGGAATGAAGAAGATGAGAAGAGCTCCTTATGTTTATCTCAGCTCCTCTGATGGTGTTTACACACTTGCAAGTGAAGGAGACTATTTTCTCACTTGGCATCCCGGGAAGTCAAGTCAAGAGTCACGTTGGCACCAGGTCCCACATTAGAGAAGGGCTGGGTGAGTCCCCTGAGCTCTGGGGCGGGTGGGAACCTGGAACCCATCCCTGATGCTCACCTCAATGGCATTCTTCCCGGGGTGATTCTGGGCAAGCAGCTGATCTCCATCCGCGTGCAGCTTGTTGATGGCTTCCTCCTTCTCCTCCAGCCTCCGGTGGATGAAGTTCTAGATGGAGAGAGGCAAGATACTGATCCCCATGCAAAGAGGGGAAACTCTGGCTGCGTCCTGTGGCAGAGCTATTCTGAAAGGGCCTGAACAGCTTCACAGGACAGACAGTGTGATGTTCCCCCACTGCAGCTTTTGCTTTTCCTTCCCTTGCAGATGTTGCTAAAGATGTGACTCTTGCCAAGTGGATGCTGAGATAAGGAAAAGGAGAATGAGAAAGCCACTGGGCTTCCTCCTCGTGTTATCTTTGGCAGGAGGTAAGAATTAACCTTACTATTCGTACACTGTCATCTGCACATCCCAAAGTGCTTCACAGAATCACAGAATGACTTGGGTTGGAAAGGACCTTAAAGCTCATCCAGTTCCAACCCCCTGCCACAGGCAGGGAAACCTTCCACTAGAGCAGGTTGCTCCAAGCCCCATCCAGCCTCCTTCATGATGGAATGGGGGAAACTGAGGCACGGGATGTTTCCAGCCCCCAGCCCGCTCTCCAGCTCAGTGCCCAGCACCCAGCCGGCACGGGGTGCGGCGGGCGCGTGCACACCTCATACTGGCGGCGCCGGCTGGGGTAGTCCAGGTTGTGGTCGCTCCAGTCGTAATGGGTCCTGTCCTTTGCCTGCTGATCCAGCCAGTAGAGCTTGTTGGTGCAGCGCTGCATGTAGTCCTGGAGGGAGTTCAGATCCTGCTGCCGCTGCTGGGAGCCAGCCTGGGAAGGGTCAAAATGGAGAGCTCAGCCCAAAGCTCCTCTCTGGCCAGGACACCCAACAAGGGACCCCTACCAAAGGGAATCCCTTGTCCCCAGGGCTCCAGAGATCTCTTACCAACAGCTTCTGGTACTTGTCTTGGAAGTCACTCATGTATTCCTGGTAAGAGAAGAGAAGCAAGGCAACAGTTAGGAGTGTGTCTCTGCCCCGGCAGGGGCTTGCTGATGGAGGGGGATGTGGGGTTTATGGGATGTGCTTCACTGTACAGCTAGAGTTGGTGTGTGATGCTGAGCTCTGAGGTGTGGATCCGGGCGCCCACCCAACCTGGCTGTAGCAGCTTGGGTGGTGGGATGCCCTCATCTTTGTGAGCAGCTTGGGGCAGGGGCAGCAGGGAGAGGGCAGAACTGACCTTGCTGCCTTCCTTGGCGATGTGCGGGCCGATGGCCATGACCTCATTGTGGAAGATGTTGTGCTCTTCTACTTGGCTGTTGACCAGTGGCAGGTCGGTCCCGAAGCCCTTGCTGCTTAATGCGTCCTGCAGTGCACAGGAGCTGGGGTTAGTGATGAGGAAATGGGATGAGGTGGCTGAGACCTAGGAAATGCCTCTTGGAGGTGGCTGCGGACCTGGGCTTGGATGGGCTCCAGTGTTGGCAGTGTGTGGATGCCCAGGAGCATATGGTGAAACTGGCTATGCTGGAGGGCAGCTGTGGGAAAGCCCATTTGGGGTGTTTTAATGCTTTTCTGGCTGGAATGGTGTAGAGAGTGGGATAAAATAAAAAAATGAGGGCCATGAAGTGGCCTTGACTTCTGCACCCTCCCCTGCCGCCCAGCACCCCAGCTCCTTCCCATGCTGATTGCTGCTCCCAGCATTAAAGATGCCAGGAAAGTTTCCAAGAGCCTGTTTCTCCATAGGGAGATGTATGAGGTCCTGCCCAGCGGGTGCTACTGGCCAGGTAGTGGCACTGATGGTCCCTTTGGTACCTGTTTCTCCTCAATCACTGTTGTCCAGTTGACCTGGGGCTCAATATGCTGCAGGGGGAAGCTGTAGATCTGTTCATGTTTCACACGCAAGTTTGCCACTCGTTCCTTCAGCTGCCGGATGCTGCAGGAAGGGAAAGATGAGGGTGGGATGCAGGATGTGGGTATAGAGGGGGGAGATTGGCCTTAGGGGCCCTCGGAGAGCCCAGTGCTGCAGGTGGGCTGCAGCAGCCGCGTTGTGCAATGGGCTGGGGAGGGAGAGGGCAGAGGCCCCTGTGCAGCCATCCTCTGCCTGGGGCTGCTCAGCACATTCACCCACTCGGGGCAAGCTGGAGCAGGGGGACAGTGTGATCTGCCTGCACCGTGGGCAGATGCCACCCCTCTATGCTCTGTGCAGAGCTGCCATCAGCAGGCATGTAGCTGTTCTCGCTCTACGCATGCCCAAGGATGGCTGTGAGTTATGCACCTTCACGTGAAGTGGGGTATAGAGAAGCCTGTGGTGACCTGCTAGCTGCAGGCAGGAGCTGAGTAGAGCCCCTGGAGAAGCATATTCCTCCCTGCGAGGCTCTGGAGTACTCACTCTTCTGTGATCATGTCACCCTGGGGGTGCTTCATGTGCCGGGCGATGGCTGCGTCCCCATCCAGCACATACAGCAGCTTGTCAGACTCGGTGAGCTTCTGCGCGGTCAGGTCCTTGTACTGTGCTACCTGGCATGCCTTGATCTTGTGCAAGTCCTGGCCAGGAGAGAGCAGGAGGAAGGGTCACGAGAGGAAAATAAACCGTATTTAAGAGGTCATCCCACCACGCTGTCCCTGGGCACCAGAGATGGGCAGGAGCTTTGCTGTCTCCCATCCTCCCAGTGGTGTATTTTGCTTTCCCTCCCCTGTGTCAGCTCTGAGGCAGGGCTGTGGCTGGGGGGCCACATCACCTCGGGCTGCATTATACCCTCTGGAAGAGGGGGATGATTCAAGACCACTCTCCTCCATCCTAGCTGCCTGCCTGGGTAGGGAAGAACTCTGGGGCCCTGTTGCCTGTTACACCCTCCCATGAGCCCGGGGAAGCCAGGCCCCCCTCATCACAGCCTGGAGACCCACCGCAGGGCAGGGCAGCCACGCACACGTGTGCTGGGGGAGAGGAGATGGCAGCAAAGCAGGCGGGCTGCAGCGGGAGGGACAGGGCTGCTCGAAGCCCGTGTGCTTACATTTTGCATCCGGGAGTCAGTCTCCACGATGTTTTTCTCCACCTGGTCGGCATTTTTCTGCAGGCGCTCGATGAGTTCAGTCAGCTCCCTGCTGGAGATGCTGGGGACAAAGAGTGGGACTCATCACCCCACAAACACGGCCACGGCCCCAGGCTGCTGCCGGGGCACGCCCCCGGCCCCAGGCTGCTGCCGGGGCTGCCCTCGGGGTGCTGTGACCCCAGGGGTGGCTGGGGGCCAGTGGAGCCTGCCAGACCCTGCAGCTGCCTGTGACTCACTGCAGCATTCCCAGCACTTTCCAAAATACTCTGCTCTGCCAGGAGGGGGGTGGCGGGTGGGGACACAGTGTATCCTACAAGGGGAAACGGGAGCCATGCCATAGGCGAGCCTGAGCCTCCCCTGGCTTCGGAGCAAGGAGGAAAAGAACAATTTGCAGGGGACGGGGGCTCGGGCTCCTTCATGAAGAGCAGCAGGGAGGACCTAGACCCCATGCACATAGTTTGAGGCTGTTGCCCGTGCCCAGGGCAGCCCCTGCCTTGGCGCCCCTGCTGCGGCCCCTCCATGCCC